GAGTGAATTTTCCGATGATCATCAACTAATCAATCACAGTACAACAAATTATTACGAATATATCCACCGATCGATATGGCATTAAAATTATATAAGTAATTACATATAAAAAATTTATTCAATTACCTAAATTTCTACCGTGCAATATTTTTGTCCCCCCGTATATAAATATTACTACAAAATTAATCTGTATTTTATATTTCACAATTATCACTATTTTAAAAAATATATTTAATCATAAGAAATTATAATAATTTTGTCCAAATGATCTACATGATCCGCATAACTTTGGCCAAAAATTTTATTTTTATTAATAACGATAAGAAATATGTAAAATATCATCGCGAACTATCGTTATTAATACATGTTTACTACATGCACCAAATATCTGTAATCGATCTTCCGCTGTATATCAGAAAAATCAATTTTAAACCAAACCATATTGGTTCAAACCAAAACCGGTTCAAACTATGGTTTATGTAAACTATCATAATTACATCATCATTAGTAGCATTAGCGTTAGTAGTATATGTTTCATAATGAGATCGGGAAGTCCTGATTAGGGAATTAGGGATGGAGTTCAATTAGGAATAGTTACGTTATCAAATGAACCATCAGTATTAGCACCATTAATAATTAAAGGAGTTGGTTCCCTCTGTGGAATATGTGGGAGTCCTCTGTGAAATAGGCGACGCTTTCTACAGCGTTAAAAAAGCTATTTTATTTAAATTCACGATTCAACGAGTTTTTTTCTAACACATTAGATTTAATATTATCTTCTCTCGCTTTACTCTCCATTCTGTCTGTACTTTCTTCAAATAAATGATTTCTTTTATTTCCTTTTTACATTTTTCAGATGGTAAAAAATATAAAAATATCTCTGAAACAATCAACCAAGTCGATGCTTCAATAATCAAACAACTTCAAGAAATTTTCATCAATGGAAGTGAGCGATTTGAGCCGGATCAAATAATTCGTAGAACTATTTACAAATGGCTCAAGAATAACAATTTTATCTACAAAGATATAGTCGAAATTGAGAGGCATGAAGAATTTGAAATGACAGCTTTTACTTAGAATATGGCTTTGGTAAGTATATTGTTATCTTTATGCAAAATGCATGTATTTGTCAAAAAAAATTACTTTTTAAAGGTTATCTGCCTATACCGTTTGAATAGGTTGAAATTTTGTCTTATTACAAAATTATTTCATGGAACTCAAATTTTTGGTGGAATTGTTATTAAACTTATGTGTGTATATATGTATATATATGTATATATAGTTAATTCTGAATAACATTTAAATTTATAAATGTTTCATCAAACTCGTGAAAATAATCTATTACCGTTATGAATTATGCTAACGAAAAAAGCGATGAAAAATAAATAAATAACTTATTAATTTATTATATCCCAAGATATTTTTCGATGAAAAATACAAAAACATAATTTTTTTCATTGAATTATGAAGCCAGACTTAATGTTTTTGAAAATTTGTGGAAGAGATAAAGGTGCGTGGCGAAAGTAAACTTAAGGCAGCTGGCATTGCCCGTTAAAATCATATGTATGAAAATTGAGAAATAATGTTTGAATAATTTTGAAATATGTTTGAAGCTTAATGTTTTTGCTTTAAAAAAGACGAGAATTTAAATAATCGGTTAAAAATTATCATTAATGAAAACTTAGAAGTTAAAAAGTGAATATGGAATAAAATATAAAGTTAAGAAGAAAATAAAGGTCGTATCATATTGCCATAAAAACTTGACTTATACCTTCATAGCCAGCTTTATGCCGGCTTTTATTAGCTAAGTAATAGTAACGTATCGATTCGTGTGTGTCTTTTACTATCCCACTACCAAATCTATAACAATAAGCGAGATTATGTAGCGCGCTTGGATTTCGACCGACAGTCGCTGATTTTCTATACCAATATACACTTTTTATTTTGTCCTGTCTCACACCTTTTCCATGTTGATAAAGATATCCAAGCCAATTTTGACCTCGATCATCACCTTCATTTGCAGCTTTTTGAAACCAAAAAAAAGCTTCTTTTAAATTTTTTTTTACACCCAATCCCCCAAACAAGCAAGTTCCGAACCAAAATTGCCCGGGCGGCCACCCGCTTTCAGCTGATTTTTTATACCAATAAGCAGCTTTAGTTTCATCGACCGATGTGCCAATACCATCTTTATAACATTGTCCTAAATTGGCTTGACCACTTGCATCTCCACCTTCAGCCGATTGTGTAAATAATTGAAAAGCTTTGTTCGAATCTATTTTACAAGGTACGATCCCTTCTTGATAGAAACTCCCTAACCAACTGGCCGCTGTTGCACATCCATTCGATGCAGCTTTTTCAAACCAGTAAAATGAATTCACTGGATCTCGATTTGTTCCTAACCCAATGTAAAAGAATGCTCCCACTTGATTCTGTGCTTGTGGATCACCATTCTGTGCTGCAACCATATTATAATGAAATGCTTTTTTTGGATCGACATTACATCCAATTCCCCATTGATAGAGAAATGCTAGGAACAATATGTATAGTGGGTCGTTTCGTCTTTCGTATACAACATCAAAAAGTCTTTTTCGATCGATATTGTGATTCTTTAACCACTGATTAATTGTTGAAACGACCACAGTATCAATTTCATAACGATTGTTCAAATCTCTATATAAATTTAATATTGTGTGGAGAAATGATGAAGTCGATTGTGTTTCTCCATCTGACATTCTATTCAATCTCACTGTTCGTTCAAATCTTTGCTCAGACATGACCATTGAATTATCATTTATGATGATGACAATGATTATGTCTTTATTATTATTATTATTATTATTAATTAATTTATTAATTAATTAATTAATTAGTTAATTAATTAATTAATTAATTAATATTATTTATTATTATTTATTATTATTATTATTATTATTATTATTATTATTATTATTATTATTATTATTATTATTATTATTAT